CTCGCGAGGACGCCCTGATCGGTGCCTGTGATTGCGACGGAATGAGAAAGAAGATGGGATAGTAATGCTATTATGCTATTATTTGAGATGGTAATGCTATTAGGATGTGAGGAGCTCCTGGGTTTGATGCAATGATAGTGAACATCCCATGCCGGCTTTGAAATTGCAGCTGACATTTGGAAACGACATTTAGGTACTTATATTATATGCATTTTTGCGAGCAGCTGACAGTTGCCAACAACAAAGACGGTTGTAAAATTGGAATAGCTGTTCAAAGTTTCGGCAATGGCGAAAGAATGGGAGAAAATCCCGGTCAAAACTAAGGCTGACTATCAGTTGACAACACATGGGTAGGCAATAGGCATACTTTCACTTTCATGCAACTAGTGAAAGAAAGCGTTTGAATCTGTCCGTGGGTTGAACGATAAACGACCCACGTAACGGTAAACTAGTGACGTCACGACCCTGTCACGTGGCTTATTGGTCAGTAGTTGTCAAAATGAAACGACCGACAGACCATCCCAACCTCGGACCGTAACCTCTTCCGACCCCAGCCTCATCTCCGCTCATTGAGTTAGCGTTGGGGGCGTCGTTCAGCTAAATTTATCTGCAATGCGCCGACAGTTATATGCCTTACGAGGCATTAAGTTTCGACGTTTGTAACTGGATTTGTGTAATAAAAAAGGATCGAAGGTAGCCTTCGTCGAAGATTAAGTCAAAGCGAGCTTGTCGCTGTTACTGCTGAACGCTCTCAGCTGCAGGGATGAAATCGCCTCTTTGTGCACATTAGTAGTTTAAGCCCTGGTAAATAACATGTATTTATCAATAATTTCAACTTTCGACGGTTAGGATGATGAGAAACTATGCCGTTTTCAGTTTTGAGCCTTTTATGAATATACCTACAATAATTCCAACTTCGCATCTAGAAAAAAACATCTGTAGCAAACAGTTTGTGGGACATTTGCAACCAGGTTTTTTAAATCAAAACGCATTAATTGAAAACTACCTTCCTTAGCAACAAAATATGCTTTTAACCCTCGCCGGCCGGGGGGGTGCCGCCCCCCCTAGTTTTTTCACGATAGCTCCGAACCCGCTGGCGATAGAAAGCTGAAACTTGGCATACCTGACCTTTGATTCAAGCCGGATCTTTTGACACCAACTGCATTTTTGGGTCAGGTCAGGTCACTGACCTATGACGTCATAAGTGAACCTCTGCACGGTCTTCAGATGTCGCAACTTCGCAACACCCTCACTGCCAGAGGAGATGTCACAGGGAAATGAAACTTGCAGGATCTAGTATCCATTATGAGTCTCACAACTTGTATATCTCGGATTTTTCCTAAAGGTCATATGAGGTCAGGTTATTTTCGTGACCTCACCATTATAAGTCAATGGGGAAAAATGAAAACTGCTATTCTGGCGCCGGGAACGATCTCCAACTATCTCAAGCACACAGAATCGTGTTTTGATGCACTCCTTGCAAGGTTAGATGCGTCACTTTTGCAATGTTGACCTTGCGTGACGTCATCTATGACGTCATCAAGGTCATATTAGTTTTTCGTCAATAACTCTTGACCAAATTGAGCTAGCGAGTCGGGAAAGCCACCAATGGACTCAGGAAGACCTGCCGAATCGAATGATATGCGACATGACCTCTTTCGACCAGCTTCGCTGACCTGACCTTGACCTGAGGTCAACACCCCAAGTTGACCTGACCCGGACAAAAAGTATATCATTCGACGCGCCTGAGCGAGGCGTACACGATGCTGCCAAAATCGCGGCTCTGTGGCCGTTTTTTGCGAAGTTATTGACCAAAAACTGAACCGTACCCTGGGGCACTTGACCTGACCTCAGAGGTCACCGGTTGACCTAGGACCTTAAAATCGGGTACCAATCTCTGCGTCTCGTAACGGCGCACACGTTCGTTTTTTCCGCGACGCGCTAGCTCCACCAGGGGCGAAACGGCGAGGGGGATCGTACCCGCCACCCCACCCCCCCCCCCCTCGGCCGGCGCGTATGTAGAAAACCAATAGGTCCGGCGAGGGTTAAATAACACCTCTAACTGCAGAGTACATTCATATTTTCATCAGACTTTCAGCTTCAATCTCATTTGTTTTCTGACTCATGAGATGCACCAGTACAAAGGTACTGCCAGCATTGCTACACATTTCGTGCCAATGCAAGCTAGCAGCTCGTGGTGTCAGCGCAATAATTCCGCACTAGCATAGCCGTGGGCGTCAACTGTCATCTACATACAGCTCATACGTCTGAAATCCCAGCAACACGCAGTCTTAGCACCGTTGACATTCCAGAAGAGGTGCTCCTAGGTTGCAACAGAATTGAGTACCTGGTATGATCCAACGCCGCCAGGCCCCAGCAATCAGCAGCAGTGGGCGGAGCTGATGGTGTCGCTGGGGACATGTGGGGAAATCGCTGAATATTTCAATGAAATCGTTGCTGCCCAGTGCCCACTACTATTTATTTTGTTCTTTGAATTATTTAATTATATTTGATATTTTACGCTAGCTTTGTTCAGCTATGTGCTTTATTTAGCAACAAATGTGTTTTATCAGAAACATTTATTTTAGAATACCTAATTTATCTCCGGAACACCCATCGCTTACCTTACCAACGCCCATAAAAGACCAGTATAACGCCTTTTGGGGCGACTAACGGAGCGAGCGAGAGGGTGGGCCTTGCACGTGCGAAATTGCGAGGGGGTACCTCCAACTGACTTGTGCACGGCACCCTACTAACCGGTCTCTAGCGATGTACCAAATTTGGGCACAATCGGCCCAGCCGTTCTCGAGATCTGGAAGCGGCACCCTGCACGTGCGCACGTGCAAAATGGGTCCCAACTGGCTTGCGCACGGCACCCTACTAACCGGTCCCTAACTGTGTACCAAATTTGAGCGCAATCGGTGGAGCCGTTCTCGAGATCTGGAAACGACCCCTGCACGTGCGCACGTGCAGCAACGCCCCAACTCTGGCACATGGATATGCAGTGCCTAGTGGGTGCCTACTTACATGCCAACTTTCAGCGCAATCGGCCAAGTAGTTACCGAGATATTGCAACAATTACAAAACGGACACCTCTTCGTTTTGCACGTGGCACGTGCATAAGGGGTCACCCACATGCATCGGGAATAGTCCAATACTTGGTAGAAGGAATGAAGCTACCCTACAAAAATCGCCGCGTGTAAATCGGTCAAGTGGTTGCTGAGATATAAGCCTCGCAAAAGCGTGACCACGGCCGGCCGGCCGGCCGGCCGGCCGCTCATACTCAGAAATTTCCGTTAAAGGGACACTCCCACCTTAACATTAGTTTTGAGTTGAGATAGCCAAATTGGTGGCCATGGCCTGCAAATACCGGTTTGGGCACTCACAACATCGACAAATGCTTTATTTCGGAGATATGGAATTTCAAACTTGCAGTTTTCGGATTCTAAGGGGCTAGTGCATTGGTATGCCCCCTTAGAATTTGTGACGTCAGCGGAGATCTAACGATTTTTAAATGTTTTACTAAAACGTTTGGTAGCACGCGGTGGTATATGCTGCTTTGCGCGCAACAAATGCCGCACTTTCAAATAAAGTCGCTAGGAACAGCGGAGATCCCAAAAAGTAAACAAAAGTAAAAGTCTAATATCTTGAAAACCGGTGAATATTTTTCGATGAAATTTGGTAGATATTCGTTTTCGCTCTTTCTGAACCGAGCGACATCACTTTCGTGCCAATTCATTAACTTTTTTGAAGGTGGGAGGGTCCCTTTAATCTAAGGAAAGACTACGCTCGCTTCGCTCGCTCCGTAATTATGCTTATGCTGACAGCGACCAATAAACACCCGATACTTTTCCAGAACAGCCCGATTTTATTGTTGCAAAACTTAACTCAAAACGAGTGACCTTTCAAAACGACAAGAGCCGGAGCGGCCATGTTTAACGTCAATATTGGCAACATCATCTACAACATGTTACTCTTATGCATGGGTTAATCTGCAGCCCACGTAGAGGGAAATAGAAAGGTGAAACAGTTTTTAGTTACGCCATTTAAATCGTGACGCACCCATGTGCTTGCCGCTCGGCATAACATTGACTGATCAAACAATATGGAAAGTTGAATGTGATAATTGCTCGATACTCCACATGATCAAGCGATAATCCCGGTTTTTGGGCGTCCTAGCCGACTGATGCGACCCCTAGACCGAAAAAGATTTGAGGTTAAACGGTGCCAACAGATGGCACTGCACTACTTATAGTGCACGGAGCTAAGCCGTCCTAAAATGCCAAAATAACAGATCGTCATAACAGGCCAAATACTTCGTCAAATACTCATTTGTGCGATCGAGAGTGCTTTCTATATTCATGGGCATATCGTTAGACAGCTGGCGAGGGGAGTGATATATCATATATCCATTCTCCATGTCTCTAATGAGCGAGCAATAATTGGTGCTCTCCAGTAATTGATTAATTCTGGTAGCAGAGCCGGGGTCATGGTCAGTCTAAGCCCAGGCCTAGATACCAGGTACATTGCTTCATATCTACTCAATGTCAATCCGGTACCAAAATGCTGGTATGCTAAATTCAAACAAATGCCAGCTTGACTTGGTATTTTGATGAATATATTTTTGACATTTATATTGCTTGTTTTTGAAACCGCACTTATGAGTAATGAAGTGGAGAATAATGAATTACGAATCCTTACCATAAATTCTACAACTCGGCTCAGTTTGGATATTGTACCATGCTCTCTTTTTACTCCATACTTTTCGTTGAAGTCAGGTTTGGTATCTGTTTTTCAAATACCTGCAACGGAAATCACAAGTTCATACCTACATTAGGAGACAGACACGTCGCGTAGACAGCACAATCAGGGTCAACCATAGAACCGTCACGTCCATCACGTCACATCCATCACGTACGTCACGTCACGTCACGTCTCCCGGCACGGTGTGACGTGACTCCGCTGGGGGGGGGGGGGGGGGGGACGGAAGGCCAGAGGTCACTGTCATACCTGCCATTGACGGTCTGACATTGGTCTCTCTACAGGCGGCACCTAACCAGCTCGACATGTATTAGAGTTGGGATTTGTGGTGTGAGGATCTCTGTAGAGCAACAGAAAGTGAACGTCGCGAGTGGCGTGTATTTCGCAAAGTTCGCTGCAAAGTGACTCGTGCGAAGTGAAGTGACTGTGAATGAAGTGAAGCACTGAGCACAATTGAGGCAGAAATTTGAACTGCTGACGATTTGAGGCCTGTATATTCATACAGGGTCTTTATATATATGTAGTCGGTCAGTGTCTTTCTTCTCAAGCAAGTGAATTTGATTACCGAGATTCGAAGCGCAGTGAATTTAAAAAAACAGTTACGACTTACGGACATATTTGTAGAGCAACAGTGTGGATGATCAATTCGATTACCTTGACCGAAAACGACTGAAAAGGTAAATCCAATCGAACAAGAGAGCTAAGGCAAGAATAAGGCGTCTCAGAAACAGCAAGAGTGCCAACTAATTGCGGAACGATTGATCTGAGGAAGCATACCTAAGTAACGCCACGATTCATCGATACAGTGGAAACAGTGCAGCTCAGTGACGTGGCGCTTCACAGTTTACACTCAGTAACTCAGTGACCTTACGCCCAGTAACTCCGTGACGCTACACTCGTCACTCAGTGACGGTTCCTGATCAACAACGCCGAACCCAGGCGCAATGAAGAAGTCAGCCATTTTACGGTAAGTGAATAATGTTTTGTAATACGGCCGCTCACATAGTTGTACATATCTTTCTGAGAGGAAGTAGATTGCGTCAATATTTGTTCATCTCAGGTGGTGGGAGCTTAGGCACGAAACAGAAACAGAAGTGCAGATGTGCAAATGAACTCAACCAATAAACTTTAACCTAGAATTCCCATATCTGCGGTGAAATGTTGCCAGTTCTGGTAAAGTTTATTCAGGCCAACGTTATAGCGGAATACACGAGGAACAAAATAAATGAAAATGAAGCATAACGAAAAGTGAGCTTGGCAACAAGCATGCTTTGAAGAAGTCCCGATAGGCGTTATCACAAGTGTATTCGCGGCCATTGGGGCGACGTAAGAAAAGAAGAAAACAACTGGCCCCAAGAACTTTAAATTATCAGTTAGCATGCACCTTTTCCTTGATATGTAGGGAATTTACCATTAATTGTTAGAGAAAATTGCATTTAAAATCTTCCCTTTATGCTTTTTTTCATCGTTTGCACAGTATGTTCTTTTACTAAGCTAGAAACACTAATTATAAATAGTTCCCGCATCATCAAGAACAATAGGAAAGGCTTGAAGTGAATACAATAATCTAAACGGTTTTGTAATCCATGTGAAGACACTTCTAAAATTGCCTGTAGAAATATTAAAGGCAAAAGTTCAACTTTTTCACAAGACGGATGGCTATAAAACTATTCAACGTGTGACAACTTAGCCGGTATTTCGTCGCCTACAGCCCAGCTTTTCCTAGTGACCGATGGAGGCGCTGCTATCGATGTCCGCCCGTGCCGCCTAACGCCGAAGGTAAAAGTTGATGCTGCATTGAGCACCAATGCGCACCGGCAATACCAGTTTTATCAGTCACAGGTCTATCAAAATATTGCTTTTGCATGCCAAATCAGCGTCATTTTGTACTTGATAGTGCTTTTTACGGAGCGAGCGAAGCGAGCGGAGTCTCATACTGAATTAAAGGAAGACTGCCACCTTCAAAAAGTTTTCTCAGATCGGCCTATGATTTATTCCCTGGACAAAACAAAATTTTAGAATTGACCTGACAAAGTATCATCACGTGAATCGCGAAAAAAATTGTCGATTATCATACAATTATCAATCGGTTAATGTCTAGCGACAATGTTTACACATCACTAGAATTCAAGGTCATAAGATTATTACATTTTATTTGAAAAAGTAAGGTATTTTATGATTTACTAATATATGATTTCATAAGAAATTGGCCATGTTTAATTTATTTTGCATTTAAGTTCGTAAAACATTTAAAAAATCATAGCTCATTTGGAATGGGTCTGGCCCATGTTAAACCCCATTTCCCACACTTTTTTGGAAAAAATGAACTACTGAATATATAAGTTTAACTTTTATTTTGACACTCCAAAATTCTTCTCTGATCTCGAAACAATCAAAGTTTTGACATATATTTACCAAAAGATAAGAAAATTCATGTTTCAAAGTTATCGATAAACAGTAGAGATGTCGGTTTTCTTGGACTAAAAAAATGGCATCAAACTGAACTTTGGTCTCCGATTTCTCGCAAACGGGTTCGAATTTCGGAAAATCGACTTCAGTCTGGGACATAGGTGGCTCAGCTCTAGTGAAAACCGTTTTGTGAAAAAAGGTGGCAGTCTACCTTTAAGGGAAAATCCTGAGTATGAGCGGCCGGCCGGCCGGCCGGCCGGCCGGCCGTGGGGACGCTCTTCAAAAGCTAATATCTTAGGAACGGGACATCCGATTGACAAGCGGTCTTCTTTACTGAATGTCACTTGGACGTAAAAGTTCTGTGGTGTGATGGCCACCATGCGTTCTTGCCAACCACCGCACGTGGCGCGCGGTAAAGTTGGACATTTTTTAAGAACCCCCAAAATTGCAACCTCAATAACGGCACAACGGTTGGGCCGATTGAATTGAAACTCGGTACACAGTTAGGTCTCCATCAGATAATTCATCTGCATGTGTTAAGGTTGGGGTGCTACAGCACGTGCGCACGTGCAGGGGGCGCTCCCAGATCTCGAGAACGGCTGGGCCGATTGCGCTCAAATTTGGTACACGGTTGGGGACCAGTTAGTAGGGTGCCGTGCAAAAGTCAGTTTGGACCCCGCTTGCACGTGCGCACGTGCAGTGTGCCGCTTCCAGATCTCGAGAACGGCTTGGCCGATTGCGCTGAAATTTGGCACATCGCTAAAGACCGGTTAGTAGGGTGCAGTGCACAAGTTAGTTGGAGGTACCCCCTCGCAATTTCGCACGTGCAAGGCCCATCCTCTCGCTCGCTCCGTTGGTCGCCCAAAAGGCGTTTTACTGGTTAGATATATTTATAATGCATCAGTTAGAATGTGCAAAAAAGTTTTACGATAAATTACCAGGAAAAAGCAATTTAGCTCCGATACTTATCGGAGCCGATATCGGAGCACGGTGGTCGCTGATGGCACGTTCTCAAATGAATTATAGGGGCATTACAAAAAGAAACAAATCAATTCGTTTATTATAAATCACCAGCCGGCGGAAATGTTGAACAGAGATGGAACAGAAATATCAGCTATGGCGAATCTTGAGACATCGGCAGACCTCAGCTAAAATTGGCATCTACAGGTGCACCGGGAATTCATCTGCAACATGTCAGCAGCAAAACTTTTTGTTCGTACTGTCACTGACAGACTTATTCCATTTTCCAGATGGATGATTCTGGAGATGGTGGCGGCATCATTGGTAGTTTCTTCTCCCCTCATACATCGGTGCCGCACAGACCAATTCATGGACTACCTAAAAAACAACGACAAGAAAAAAATACGAATATGTCTTAGCAAAAATGAGACATACAACAGGTAAGAGGAGGGAAAGAGCTGCTACGCTTGTTCAGCAGCGGCTCTATCTACATATAGACTATAAGGGCCAACATATTACTTTCTTGCGAACGATAGAAATACATCCAGGACACATATCTTCACTTGGTGTAGCTAAAGCTCTAAAACGACCATGCACTCCTTCCTCATTTTATATGATCAGTAAATTATATTGACACCAAGCACAATCTGATGAAAAAAATTGATGTTGTAAGCGTGGCCTTTACGGGGAAGGCAATCTTACGCATCTTTCACCTTTGTTTGCAGTCTTTGCCGTGAAGAGCTATTTCTGGACATTCAGGGGTCGAAATTCCCTGTCGAGGTGCTGATCAAATGGCGTCAGCTGTGCTCAGGGCAACCCGAGTACAACGTCACTGGCACAGTCACAATGGGTGTCGAAAGTGGGCTTCAAGATGGCCGCCGACAGTCCACCCAAGATGGCCGCCGCCAGGTGATGCGTCTGGACGGTCTGACCGCCGGACGTTTACCTCCCGGCCGGTATATTGCTATGATTACTGTGGCTGAGAGAGATGAGAGACAGGAGGGTTATGCGGGGAAATCAGCATCTCTAAGAGAGGAGCCTCGTGGGTCCTCTGACGCACCTGGGAGGTTCATAGCCGCCGGCCGGCGGCCCAGTGAAGATACGGATTCCAAGAGGAGCCAGGGTATCACAGAACTATACACTAGCGAATTCAGTAAGCTTTTTACATACATCTTAGCATAGTGCATGTGTATGGCAGTTCCACATATCCTTTTGATCGGTAATGAGTTATAATATACCTATATTCAGAGTATCATTTTCGAGTCCTATGTAAATAATGTTGAACATTAGTGAGCGTTAAAAAGATGTCACTTTGGCAATTCCACCGATATATTCGGATAATATGAGGTACTGCCGTGATCACTGATCAAAGATATTTAACGACTCAATGCAAGGAATATCATATTATTGATTCAAGCTACGTGTATTGTCATTGACTAAGCTGTCAAATGAGAGCGAACGGTATAAGGTACCGACATTCTTTTCTCAAACAGGTGGGACTCCAATGCCTACATCAATTATAAAAAACTATAGATCAATGAAAATCTTGACGGATGGACAGAAAACGGCTGATCCAATGAGGAGCTTAAAACTCTTTGCCGGCAGCGCCATCGTTGTTCACATGGTCTGTTTGTAGGCTAGATAAAAGTGCCGTATCATTCTCTTTGAAATTTAAATGCTACCTTTTCACTGAAAAACATGAAAGAAGAGCAAACAAGTCATATTAAACTACAAAGAGACAAGTGTGAATGGATTGTAGAGTGTGTATGTTGAGGTGTCTCTTAGAACGGATACAACCACTAATCGCAGTGACATAGCACTGCTAAGCTAATCATTTGCTTATCATTGTTTATCATCAGACTTCTAACAGCTTAGTAGCACGTTGACTTTTTTGGTACGTTCCAGTTATAGTGCTGTATACCGGCCACCGGGCTTCGGTAAAAGCATTGGTTATGCTCGGGCTTACAGCGAAAGCCGATCTTTCAGAAATTTAACCCGCGCCCTGCTGGGGGGGTGTTTGAACACCCCCCCCCCTTGTGGTTTTTTCTGTCATAGCTACACCGAGTGACCGATCGCTTTGAAACTTTCAGCGATTGCTAAGAGCAATAGCATGTACAAAATGTATATCTCAGAATTTTGATATCGATGACCTAAGGTCAGGTCAATTTTGCGACCTCCCCATTATAAGTCAATGGGAGAAAATTGAAATGCGCCTCTTTTGGACAAAATACATTATAAACACTCCCAAACACCGAATTACAAGTGGCTTAGACACACTGAACATGAAAATGGTGTCCGTGACCCTTGTTTATGCCCTGAGGTCATCTTAGGTCACGAATGGTATCTAACAGTTTTTCGCAAATAACTTTTGATAGAGGCATGCTAGAGCGATGAAAACGCTTTAGATGTGTTCAGCTCGACGATACGGATCGACTGATATGCAACATGACCCTTTCCGGTCAGGTCATGACCTTGACCTGAGGTCAAATTTTCAAGTTGACCTTTCAAGGTCAACTTATAGTTCATTCGATGCGTCTTGACGAGAGGAACACAATGCCGGTAAAAGTAAGCTCGTACAAGGCTTGGGTCAAAAGTTATTGCAGAAAAACTGTTTCCGAAAAAATCGGCTATTTTTGCAATTTTTGCCCCCTGCAGGCAAAACCGTTGACGTTAGGTCAAATCTGAGAGAATTATTCAGAAAGGGCTTTAATAGGGCTATCGAAAGCGCTTTTCCGCGGCGCTGTAGCTCTATTGGTTCTCGAGTTATGCGTTGGCTTCTTGGAAATTTTCGACATTCGACCTGGAAATCGGCGAAATTTTGCCTTCAATGACCTCTGGTGACCTGACCTTTGACCTGACCAAAAAATTGACCGAAATGATTTCGTCATTATTTTTGACGCTCTTTCGAACGCCGCCTTCCGCGTATCGCTACGTGGCCCAGGAGCCGAGTTACAAGGGGGGGGGGTGTTCAAACACCCCCCCCCCCAGCAGGGCGTGGAAATCCAGGACCCCCAGCCGGGCGCGGGTTAATCCACATTATGCGTGCATTTTGTTCAAATTGAGATAATTAACTAACAGTGACTGACGTTTCTCTCACAGCAGTGTTTCAAACAATATTATTTCCAGCGATTGGAGAGGACATTTTCCAATTGCAACCAATTCTGCCTGCCAAATTACTGTCTATTGTAACTCAGGTTTACGTCTGATTTTACTTTGGTTTTGTAAAAATAATGCCGTTTCAATTCACTATTATGCGTAGAAAACCGACAATCGCTAAATTCGCTATCGCAATATTAGGCGTAATGTAATTTGCCATGAAAAAAGAAATTGTCTGATCCAATGCATGTGGTAAAGGCCTTGTAGACCTGACCAATGACCATTCGTAATGAAGCACCTCTGAATGCATTGGATTATAACTTAAGAAGCCTTCAGTTGAGAACTTGATACATGCACAACGTTTGGACAGCTTTCATTGTGCACAGACCTCTGCACATCGAGAGACCTCCTTATATACTGTATAAAGATCAGTATAGGTACATAGGTCCATTTGAGAACATTATTGTTTGTTTCAATGATATGTGCCGTGGGTGGGGTTGGATAATAGGTATTCTTTATCAAAAACAAAACAAAAAGCAAATTGAAGAATCTATATTTGCTTTTTGTAACACCAGTCACATGAAATGTTAATTTCTGCTGGTTGCGTGAAACATTTTTCTTTGCGTGAAGCATTGTCATACAACATTACAACCCGTCTTTTTCAGCTAAGGGCCTTGAGAATGCATGCCCAGTGACAAATATCAACATGGATACCTGTTTTGAACAGGGATTCAAAAACGCGCGGCTGAAATTTGAGAACAGTAAGTAGACAATGCATTAACGATTAAACCATATTCTGTGTGTACTTCATGTGACGATACGAAGCGCAGAAAAAAAAACACATCCAAGGCTTAGCAATCATTTTGCGTAACGAACTTCAGTTACTGCCATTCAAAAATCGTTTAGCTTGAGGATAGTTTCAAGTAAGGCGGACTATCGAATTCGTACTTTTTCAGAAACTGTGAGCAAATTCACGTATCATCTAAATTACCTCATGTTGCGTTTTAGCAACAGGCCAACTCAAGCAAAATAAATATGTATATCATTTCCCTTATCACGTTCAGATAGCCTACATAAACCTCAATTCACCTTTCCATTTCGTTTCACATTGTTTCCGCTGTGTCGTTCCAGTGGACCCGCTGCATTTCAACACCACTCTAAAGGGAGGCTCCCGGGCTGTCGCCTGGGAAGTCGATGGCAATGTTAGCGTCGCCGGTATTTCAAACTACACCGTGAAAATATCAAAGTAAGTGAGTCTTACGAGGCACGCGCACTCTGTCCGTCGTGCAAATATATTCAGCAATGTTTGTCAAAATTTAATCATGTTTGAGGATGAAACATGCATTATGCATGCAATTGGCTATGGTGTATTCTTATGGATGGTATCAAACGACATTATTCGCTGCTATTTTGAATTTCCGTTTTTGGTTTGCTTTGCGAGCATGACTCTAAAAAGATCAAAAGAAATCTGTGACATAATGCTTTGCATTATCTCTCCCATCTCTACATTCACCGGGCTCGAATTACTCACTCGAATAATTAAGCTTTCATGTGCAGCTATAGCAGGCATCATCTGTCCGGACCAGAAGCCGGAGGAAACTGAAAGCACATTCAGGGTATTTCGTGCGCAGGAGCATGAGCCAGAAGACTTCCTGTAATAAACGTACACGTAAGGTCAATGGGGAGCATTGCCATCCTTGAACTATTGAATTAGCATCCAAGTCTTGTATCCAGGAGCCCAGCGGGGCACGGGTTAACCCGGCGGCCGCTGGGCCTCCGCGCCACCCGCCGGCCGCTGGGGGGGGGCATAAAGTTGCCCCCCCCCCTTTACTTCTGCGACGATATCGTCGCAACGCGAAGAGATAGAGAAGCGAAACTTTGCACACATCTTCCTGAATACCTAGCCGAGGTTGTGTCCAAATTTGGTGTCGATCCCATTTGAAATGACGTCACAGTGACGTCATAAGTGAAATTATAGATTTGCGACTCTCATATTCCTCACGATACATCACATATATGGGACCAAATATAAAGGGCCGATTATTGGTCAGAAACTAGATGGAAGTGTAGTAAGATGTTTTAGGGTGACAGCAGGTGCTGTCTAGTTCATTTACAGTCGAGTTTCATGCTCAGCGTCATCAGAAACGGTCCATATCGGAAAACGACAAAACTTTATGACGTCACTGTGACGTCATCTTAGGTGCTACAACCACCAAACTTTCCTCAAACATTGCCTAGGTATTCATTTGAAGCTATGCCAAGTTTCACGTTCGTAGCTCATCAGGCTTCGGAGATATTTCACAAAACGTAAAGGGGGGGCAACTTTATGCCCCCCCCCCCCCAGCGGCTCGTGGGTTAAATGTGGACAAGGTATTGGTATTACTATAGACCTCTGTATCCGTCGGTATACATAGACCTATGGTATTCCCGGTATTCTTTGCCTTCTATCAGACTTTCATCACGCTTTTGGCATGCCGAAACTTTCAGAGTTGACGGTAAATCAAAAGCATCGTTGTCCGCGTCTTTATTGGTACACACATAGTTGCCATCTTGCGAGAGAAGTTGAACGAATGATAATGGTAGGTATGTGACATTTCTTTGATGTTCTGTAATCTGTTTTATAAATGTTTTAATAATTTCCCACGCCCTCGGCATTCTAATTACAAGAGTTGTACAATCAGATGGCAAACACAGCAAGCTGTACTGTTGTGATGAACTAACGTAATTGCAACTTGTTTTTTTTTCATTTCCAAGCCCTTATCTGTTTATTTTTTCTAAGTTTTAGTCACTTACTAAGTTTATTAACGTCAGTCGCCTTGCTTATTAACAGGCGTTACATTATGCCCCAAATGCTTAATTCAGTGACGTTTGTTGTTTTACTGTACATTTCGAGGAATTGGAAAATACGTCATATATTTCTGCAGCTCGAAGCGCCAGCCGTGAGGAAAAGGCCATCTCTTCCAACTCGACTCCTGGCCCTTATAATGACAAGTCTCTATCGTGTCTTATCAGTGATTTTGAAGAAAACTGTTTTGGCCCCTGGTGACATTACAGGGCTGAACTCCGTCGCGCTTGTTTCAATGCAATGCAATGTAGTGCACATTTGCTCATCAATACACAATAAGCCTGGCGTGCTTTTGGTATAACACCTTTTTCGACATTATGCTTCTTCGTTGAATGTTTAAACTTACTTTGATCTAACATTGATCACAAATCTGACAGGCGTAACCAAAGGCAGCGTGACACGCATGTTCAAAGCGCTGAAACATGGACGGGTTTTTGAACAGCATCTTTATCTTAATGCCGCCCTAGGACCCATTCACAATTTGCATCAAAAGAGTTTTTGAAGCCTCAGTACGCACATTTTTGTTCTGACATAACATTTCCATTTCATACGGATGGAAATTGTATGCCTTTATGTCAGCGCTGACGCTTATTATGAGTTCAGTGAGCACTGCTAAATTCCCTGGCCACCGCCTACTTCACTACGCTATAGGCCTACGCACGTAAGTTACGCACGAGTTGACGTCCGCATGTTTCCTACGAATTTCAGGATCTAACGCTTAGATATGTCAATCGGATACCAACTTTTTGGTATACCGATACCAAACCGATACCAACTTGGTATTTGGTATTTCAAGGCGAATAAATTTGGTATTTTGTTGGTATTGTGAATCGTCGCTGATGTAAAAGAGGCTGTGAATTCGGTAAAAAGTTGGTATTTCCCTCAGTTTCTGAAGTTGCTTTGGTTTTGGTATTTTCCTATGGTTATTGTTGGTATTTGGTTTGGTTTCGGTATCACGATTTTCTGTAACTGACATCACTACTAACGCTGATGCAACCAGCTCTGGGAATAGGTTACTATAATAGGGACGGCTTTAAATACTCGATTGTAGACATACATTGGCCAATCATGGAGGCCACGGGGGGTAATGATTATTATATGGCAATGGACTGCTCAGACCAACTACATAATTGCACATTCCCGCTGTCACTACGGCCGCTTGTTGCACGCCGATCTCAATGCACCCGTGCCTCGGCTACCAAAACTGACTTTGTAATAAGTGAATGAGGACTTTACTCCACAAGAAATCGTTCGGGTCGGAGCTTTCGAATTGTATTTACAAAACTTCGTCAGTGAGTCGTGATCGGGCTCGGGGGGTATCGGTCGCAAAATGAAAATAATTTTTGGTCAATTTTGCGACCGATACCCCCCTAACCCGATTACGACTCGCCGACGAAGTTTTGTAAATACAATTCGAAAGCTCCGACCCGAACGATTTCTTGTGGAGTAAAGTCATCATTCACTTATTACATCAACAAACTCCACATCATATCCTCAAGAAAACTGACTTTAATCGCACCGTTTAGTAGATCTAACGAAAATAAAACTACGCTACAACATTCAGTGACTATAAGCAGCGGCCCAATCGGGCAGAAAAGTCGCTGACTTACGCTTTGGACCACGATACGGGTCACGTCAGTTCTCCCAGCGCTCCGCACTCAACGCTCAATGTTGAAGGCCAACAAAGAGAAGTCAAGTCAAACACTCAATGTTTAACTTGAGCGCTGCATCGGAAGACCTGTATGGCTGCGGCAGGTGATGCAAGGCCATATAAAGCTGATGTGTATGACGCTCATACACGCTCGCTTGATGGTTGTTTGTTATACAGTGTTATCTACGACTGCGTCAGCAGACCCAAATACTTAGCAAGCATATGTAGTTCCCTGGCAAAATGCTTCACGGCATTTCATTGTCAGACAAATGGACAGTGCTTTTATACGCTTTCCTTTTGTCTAAGCCAGTAAGCCTTTTTCATTTGCAGCTGTCGTTACAAAAGTGCAAATTGATAAAAGTAAAGCAATATGTAAAATAAACCACGAACAATTCGGTTCTATCACAAAACGCATGCAGCCCTAGAACGGTATACGATCCATAGCTCTAGCGTCGTTGGCTATTTCCGACCTGCTAGATTGCGTCTCCTTGGGGATCAGCCGAAATAACGTTCATCTCACCTCTAAGACCCAAGGCCCCTAGGGTCTAAATTCATCTGACCCCGCGCTTCTCCTTAATCCCAAGACACGCATAACCTCAACCTGACCTTTCATGGCCCAAGAGATGAAGGCTCAAACACAAGGAAGCCTTTTTCTTCACTCATCACTCCTTACTTTTTTACCTTTCGTGTCCCTATAACGCATGTTTTCGTTTTCCACCTCTGATCTTCTAGGGTACGATAATCTCCAGAGAACCTAATTCCGATAACTATTGGGGGATTATCTATCCACAAAACACCTTATTGAGGCAATTTCATTCAACTGACCCCTGCACCATGTCGTTCCCCAGAGCGGAGAGTTCGGATGACCCGCACCAGAACCGACCTCTGACGATCACGACGGCCTGGGTGGCGCCCCTCTGGAGGATCGAGCTCGGACTTACCTACCACCTGACCGTCATCCCAGACGTCATCGTCATCAAAATGGCCGCCAGAGTGGCGATGGCGTTGCGTGAGTGAGCGGGAAGGGGCGGCTTTGGGGTACGGGGAGGGCAGGGTTTTGTTACGGCGGTTTGGGTTAGACAGCGAGTAATTTACTGTACCCAGTGGAAACCTGTTACAGCCTGTTACGGGTGCGAGAAAACCTGAGGAGTTCGCCATTTCATGTTCCACCTAAATAGAATGTACCC